AGCAAAGCCTACCTTCTCCACCAGCAGAAATGTATGTTGTGATAAACCCCCAGTCCCCAGCTCACCCCAGCCTCTGTTGTTTATCAAGCCCTCCAAGCAGGATCTATAGCCTTGTAGTACCCATACTATTTGCACTGCTTGTCTCAGGTAGGTCCTGCTACCTCTACAGCAGGTATCAGCAGTTCAACTATGCCAAAGAAGTAACAAACCTATGGCTTAGACTGCAAGCCCTGTGAGGATGGGGCTTGTTCTCTGCAGTCACACTGGGCTCCTCAACAGGAAGCTGAAGCCCTGGGAGCCATGGGTGGCTGTGGTGTCACACAGGGATAACCATGGATGTTGTGTGCTGTACCTGTGCTGTGACATCCCAGAGCTGGGAAGACTGGTTTGCCCAGCTCCATCCTTGGCTCTGCTGATAGATGTAGTTACCCCTTCCAGACAGCTCTTGGAGGAGTGACACACTACATTAGGAATGGCGAAAGTACGACACAGACTCTCTTAGCCTGGTTGCAAAAGAGAGCAAGTTTTATTCTTCCAGATCTTCTTTTATAGACAGTTCTGAGGGATAAAACTCTCACTGGTCATGAAACCAACACATCACCATCATTGGACAATTAGGAACAACACCCCTTGACTGTTTCTTGCAAATAAACAGAGGCAACAACACCTGCAAAGGTTGTTTTCCTTCTCTAAGGACTGTTTGGATTCCTCCTTATGATTTCTCAGGCCAGAGTAAGACTTAGTTTCACACAGGCTCAAGCTAATGTCTGAAGCCTAAAAATCTCTTATTTGACCATTGTCAGTTCCCACAGGAGGGCTTTTGTGAAGTGGATGGGTGGGTGGGTTCAGGAAAACTCTCTGATCAGCATTTAAAACAACCTATGTGTTTTTCCTGAAGTGCCTAGCACACCCTCCAGGCTCTGTGCCAGGAGTTACAGGGCTGCCTGGACGCCTTTGCTCACTTTGGTAACCTGTTATCAGTGCACCCTTTGATAAGAGCGGCTCTACAAACCCCAAGCGCACTGTGGGGTGACCTTGCCATCTCCTTGGGAAGTCAGAACAACAGGACCCTACAGAACCATGGCACAGGTTCTCAACAAGCCAAGCTGCCCCAGGGCCACTTCCCTCTCCCTGGGCATTGCAAGCATCCTCATCCTGGCCCAAAGAGTGCTCACACAGCACTCCAGCAGCCCATGAGGCCAAATGCCAGTGGTACAAATGCAGCTCAGCATGCTCCTGGTCTTGGCAAAAGCCATGCCACCTCATGACTGCAGAAATGAAACCTTCAGAGAACAAACTCCATGAACACGTCATGCCCTGTGCCATGGCAAAAGCTGAGGGGTAAGAACTGAGGAGTAAGAACTGAGCTGTCTTTGTCACCAAGGGAGATATTACCAGGTTGCACAATACTAAGTGGTAATTAATGTGCAAGGAAGAAATGAGCTCAAGCTGTGACTTTTGGATCTAGATGCAAATAATCTTAAGCTAGAGGGTTTTGCCAAATATAGTGTGATTATCATCTGAGAAAAATGTATTAGTAGTATATGAGCCAACCATAAAGTACACTTTGTTTCTCTCAGTTATAAAATAAGTTCCCATGGTGCAAATAAATACCAAGTGCAAACATGAGCCTTTTGAAATAACTCGAGAAGCCTAAAAACAAGGTGCATAGGCTCCCTCTACAGTCAGTTTTTAGGTACCTAGCTCTCAGTGCTGATCTGAAGAGCTGAGATGCCATGACCCAAGCTCCTGTAGGCTGTAGAAAAGGGGATGGAGCCTTTGCACCAAGCAACCAGACTGGCTCAGCCTGGCTGAAGTACCTGCACCCCAATGCACAGGCAGTGCATCTCAGTGGATGCATGATTTGCTGTTTGCATGGATGTTTCCAGTGATTCTCCGTCACATCCCTCCGAAGCAAGCATGTCCTGCTCAGGTACATAGTAGCATGTGATTATGGCAGACAGCATGCTCAGAGCCCCCTGTTAAAAGTCTGTGTTCTTGATATATTCACAGGAAACAGAGCTATGATAAGATCCAAAAGCACAGGCAAGTACTGAACCAAAACCATCCCTAAGTGGCAAGGATGAAAGAGTGATTCACTTAGAAGGAAATTGGTGCAGAAGTGTTTACTCACACAAGAAGGTTTGTGGGACAACATGTCAGCATGCTCCTGGTGGGAAGGTCTGAATGGGAAAGTCTGTGTAAGGCACCTCTAGCAAACTGTTTTAGCCTAAATTCTCAAAGACCTGAAAACCAGTTTCTCTGAAAAGCTAACCTGCTAGAACCCCCTGCCTCAGTTTCTCAGTCTTCATGAGTGACTTCATGAGAAGATGCTGTCAGGTCTTTGAATTGGGGCTATTGTTTGGCAGCCAACAGCTATTTATACAATCATTATCAGTATGCCTTTCATCTGTAATATTTTACAGAAGCATGGTAGGCTTGGCTTTGTTCACATTTCACCAGCCCTTCAAGCCTACATCTAAAACTCAGGAAGGTCAGAGTACAGGAACATTTACCCCAGTTTTTGAAGGCTGATGTGTTTTAAAGCAGTCATGGTAATGCTTCACTACTGCAGACTGAAGGGATTACTGATTACAGCCAGCAAACCTGTCACACGTGACAGTGTTACATGAACCTGCCACTGCAGAGTGACATGGAACTTCTGTCAGAGGCACAGATGCCCTCTGCTAACAGAGCTGCTTTGGCTTTCTTCCCTTTTCTCATCTGGCTGAATTACCTGCTGTGTGCTGATTAATGTTCTGCTGCATCTGTGCTAATAAATGGGGAGGCTGGAGGCAATGGCTCACCTCTGTGTGCACCATCCCCTGTCAGGGTGATCTTTTCCCTCCTGACTACCAGAAACAGCCTGCCTGACATCACCTCCCCAGACCTGCCTGGGTGTTGTGAGGTGCTAACGGGAATCAGGCAAAACAGTACTGGGAAGGGTGGTAAAGGTGTTTAGTTTTTCAACTCAGATGTCACCCTGGCAAGCTCTCATGCTACCTCCATTCACATGCACTCAGATCCACCACCAGAACTGCATGCATGCTCACTGCCTGCTCTGTCCCCAGCAAAGTGGAAAAAAACCACACTAAAAACATCTTAAAGACATCATACTGATAAGATATCCAGGTGACAAGAGTCACGTGCCTTTATACTGGTGGGATGGACCACTCAGTTCCCCAAAGACTGGTGAGACAATACACATGAGGGAGTCTGGTCAGGATTATTCAAGGGCAGCTTGGATGACAGTAGCCAAAACCTCTGGACATCCTGAAATACGTAAAGCTACTCATGGTCATTCCCACTGAAGGATAATGCTTTGCTTCCTGGTGATAAAGAGAATACTCAGTGAAGGTTTTTCAGAAGGAAAAACATTAATCATAATCAAAGATACAACCTTCTGCCAACATAACTGGCATTTGAACACCACACTAGCAGCTCTCTTCTTGTTTTCTCCAGCATGGAACTATAGTAGGCAAAATCAGGAAAGGGAGTAGAGCAGATTTCTAGAGTTTAAGCACTTCTTGCTGTACTTAATTCAGTTTTGGCTGGGACAGGCTTTAGCTGTTAACCACTGCATCAAAGATGTGCTCTGCTGAGTAGTCTGTGTGCAGGAGGGTACAAGGTTTAAAAGCTGCTGGTGCAGTGAGCTCCTTGAGCATTAACAGAGGGAATAGTTCCTTCTCTGCTTCTAATGAAACCGACTGAACAGAGATAGGTAAACTCTTCAGCTGTAAGCAGTCAAAGGTCTGGGCTTTCCTTAGCTGCAAAAGATGTTTATTGCAAAGGAGCAGTCCTGTTTGTGGGTCTTCTTTTTAATGGGGATTTTTACTGGGGATTTTTTTAATGGCTCTTTTAAGTATATATTACTTACCACCTTTGTTTTCCTCATTATTTAGTTTTGTGCTCCATGAAACTCAGAGAGGTCACTGAATGCTCCTCAGGGGAAAATTAACTCAGGGACAGCAGCCTGCTCAGAGGTTCCCTTCAGAAGCACTAACCAAGCTACAGAATCTTTGTCTGGCTTAGAAAGATTTGCAGAAGACAGAAAGATGGCAGAAATTTTTCAGGCAGATATAGATGTTTTTTGTCCAAATCCACACTTTTGATGTTCAGCTGCACTGAACCTCTTCCAGTCCTCATTGGAGGAAATGGGGAACAGCATGAAAAGACCTTGTGCAATCAGGGCCATGGGAGCATGACATTAATCACCCTCTCAAGCAGAGGAGGCTGAGGATATCTCCACTGCTTAATCACACATTTACACATTAGCATTGTCTAATAAATTATCATTAAATAGCTTCAAACTGTTTGTGAGATGGGGCTGTATCTTGCAGCAGCCTCTCCACCCTCTGCCTCCCCAGGGTGCAGGGCAGGGCAGGAGGCAGAGAGCAGGGTGGGCATGCAAGGGCTGGTGACCAATTTCAGTGCCACTCTCAGTGGGCTCCCTGAGTGTGGGTCAGCTGCATGTGAACCCCTGCAAGTTCAGTTTGGTCACCTTTGACTCAGAGGCCCCAGTTCATACTGCAGTGACGGGTCTGCTTCCCATTTCAGGAACACTATTCTTTAACCACTAAGTAGCTAAAAGAAATCTGCCCTGTTGTGGTTTTGCTGTATTGTTTTCTCTTATTCCCTCAAAAGAGCGTACAAGCAGTCATCTATGTCCACTGTAATTCTCCAGCTGTATATGCACATGAGGAAAAGGATCATATTTCTTTAGTAGTATTTATGGCCTCTGAAAATACTGGACAGAGTAATTGTCACGTGTCCCATACTGTGCAGGTTCTTAGTGACAGACTGAAATGGCCATAAGCTAAGACTCCAGATCTTGCATTTCAAGTGTGTCATATATTAAAGAAAATAACAACAGAAGCCAAAATGAAGAGCCAAGGTGTGTTTAGAAACGGCTTTTAACAAGGTTGCAATGTGAGACTTGACAATTGACAAAGTTAACTAATTATATGTTTGTGAGTTTCCATGATTTGTGACACACAAAGATGCCAACCCTAGATGACATTTTAGAGTACATTGGAGAATTTGACTTCTTTCAGAAGAGACCCTTCTTTGTCTAATGCCTGCTTTCTGCTACTCTTGCTCCCATTTATGCGTGGATTTCTTTCCCGGGTTCACCCCTGAGCATTGCTGCTCCAGCCCCGGGGTGGCTGAGCTGAGCCAGCGGTGCGGCTGGAGCCTGGAGGAGCAGCTGAATCACACAGTTCCCGAGTGGGATGGCCACGGGGCCAGCTTCAGCAGCCGCTGCAGGAGGTACGAGGTGGACTGGAACACGACAGGCATCAGCTGCACCGACCCCCTGGGCAGCCTGGTGGGCAGTGGGAGCAGCGTGCCCCTCGGTCCCTGCCGGGATGGCTGGGTCTACGACTCCCCAGGGAGCTCTCTCGTGACAGAGGTAAGGCATAGCTTGTCCAGAAAAATCACTCCTGCCTGCACAGCTTAAAGATTGAATATGCTGGATTAGTAAAGGTTGCTTTTGGTGTACAGTCTGAGTGTGACTGCTAATAAACACTCAATATCAGAACCTGCTAGGCACCTAGGGCAAAGGTTCATATGCATAAACAAGGGGAAATTATTGCTTTTCCCAGCAGCATAATACTGCAATCTTGTCATCAATGGCTATTCTCATAATTATTATTTCCATCACCAAACTGAGGGTAGCACCCCATAGCCCAAACTGAGGAACTGCACCTTTGGATGATAATCCAAATACCCATCCATAATGAACAAGAGGCAAAGTATAGGACTACATTTCTCACATAATGCTTTAGCAACAGCAGTGCTCCTTTATCTCAACTTAAAGTATCTAAACCAGATAATCTAGAATATGAAAACCAATGTAAAAGTACTAATAGCCTTAAAGCCATGTAGAGACCTGAAGTATAGGAATGACCTCCAAACAGATCTCTTCTCCTTCCCCTCCACTGCCAAATCTGTATTAGCTATACCTAAACTGTGCCTAGCAGATGTTTCTGTCACTCGATCTTAAAAAAGTGCATTGCTGGATACTTCACAGTTTCCATGGGTAGGGTATCCATATTTCCTTGCTTCACTATCATCATTGTTACAAAGCAAGTCTATCTCATTTTCCCTTGGGACAGATGGGCTAGGGCAGGGAAGAGCATTCCAGCTGTCCTCCACACCAGGGAAATGGGTTGAGCTCTTTGGTATGGCCCCAGCAAACTCATCTTGGTTAGAAAAAGATTAAATAAGCAGCCAAATGCATCCATGCTTCTTTCTGGGCTGAAGGCTAATTACACTTGAAGGAATATTTCCAGCTGTAGAGAAGTTATTACCAATTTGCCCTCCTCCTTTTGTTGGGTGCGTCCTGACAACCTGTTAATCGTAAATCAAAAGCAAGTTCCCAAACACCCGTTCCCTTCAAAGAAAAGACAGCCTAATCCTGGGCCTTTTGCCAGTGTTAATGAGGTGAGGGACACCCCAGCCCCTGGCTCCACCCCAGCAGGGCTCATGGCAGCACCTCCATCTCTCTCATCTGACACTGATTTTGCAGCAAGGAAATACATGATTTGAGACAGATCTTGGCATCTGGGAAGGAGACAATGCTCCAAGTCTCCTCCAAATTTCAAGGCAATGGGTGATGACAAGAGGATGAGATTTTTCTGAACTTTTTTTATTTGTTCTTTCAGAGTTTTCCTTCCTTTCTCACTCTCCTTATGTGTCATTGTGCAACCATTTTCTGGAGTGTAACTTTCACAAGGTTGAGGAAAATCTGAACAAGATGTATTGCCAATGTCAGCTAAGAGGATAGAGGGTTTCTTACCCTCTGTTTTCTAGTTGATGCCATTGTTTTCCTTCCTCCTCAAACAGCCATGGTTTGTGGGGAATGCCCCAGAACTTGGAACTGTTTGCCCTTACAGTTTAATCTGGAGTGTGAGGACTCCTGGAAGCTGGACCTCTTCAAGTCATGTGTGAATGCTGGGTTTTTTTATTGGTTCCATACCAGACAGGTGCGTGGTGTGTGGACAGGTATGAGATGAACTCTTTCTTCTGGTTATTTGCTTTCTGATGTTGTTGAACAGCATTCACAAATCAGAAAGAAAGTAAATGCAATCAAAACCTGATTGAAAAGGCCTGTGTGTCACTTTAAATGGAGATGTGTGTTGGTTTCTAAGGTCCTGCTTTCAAAGGCTGTTGTGACCCAAGAATCCACAAAAATGCCAAGGTATCACTCCACTTTTACAGCCCTGAGGAATTCACACAAATGAAGAGACTTTGTTTTCTCTCACAGGTGCAAACTGCAATGCAAGCTCAGAGTCCAAGATGAAATCTTAACTCTTGCACCAAGAGCCATTTGCTCATCTTTGCGATAAATTTGTTTCACATTAATTTTAACAGAATCCAGATGGCCATAAATTTGTTTCAAAATAAGGGAGTTTTTCTCGGACAAAGAAATAGAAGCAGTTATTTCTCCCCAAATTTTATTTGATCCTCCTTTTTCTCAGCTGAGTCTGTATTTAGCCAGTTCTAGATATTATTGTCCCTCATTTCCTCTTTTCCATCACAGTTATCATTGTGCCATATATATCTGCCCAGTGGATTTCTTTTTTAGGTTAGACTCTGAACAGATTTAGTGCTTTGTAGCTGATCTGCCTCTACATATTTACCAAATTTTTCAGTAAAATAAGAAGTGAGGATGAGACTGGAATTTCAAGAAATTCAGGTAGCAGGCAGTGAACAATCCTTCTGGAGATCCAGTCTATCTTGAGTTGTGGTTGTTTTGGGTTTATTTTTGTTTGTTTGTTTGGTTTTTTTTTACTCTGTATTCTCAATAGCCTTTTCTTCCCAAGACTCCCCCAATATTGTCTCTGTTGAATAGATATTGCTATTGTTCCCTTTCTTTCACTGTCCCACTCCTCCTATGGGAAGGGGCATAGTCATTCCCTGTAATACTTCTGCAGTGTCACAAAATTAGGATGAGACTGTGTTTGTCTCACTGGTCCCTGCTGCCTAGCTTCAGTGCAGGCAGACACAGCATCAGTTAGGTTGTGCAGACAAATCTGCTTGTGAAGAAGCTCATCCATGCACAGATGGACAACTTGCTTTCCCATCTTCATCAAGTTGTTACCATACTTGCAGTGGGCCAGACCAGCTTTTTTATAAGCTTCTGCTTAAATGGAATTTTTCATCAGTAGATAGTGATTTATTGAAGTAACTCTTTGTGGCTACATCTTGTGTCTACACTTTTGACAAAAGAAATTCTCAGGTGAAAGACATCAAATGGCTACAGCAATACCACTAAAATCCTAGATACAGTCTTCCATCCTGGGATGGAGTCCTGTGTCTGATTTCCAGGACAGAAGTGGACAGACATGACAATTTCAGCTTTCTTTCACATGCATTTTGGAAGATCTTTTTTTTTAATCAGAAACATTTGTCACCTCCCTCGTCTTCTCATTCCCTTAAATCCAAGTTCTTGTTTTCTGACTAATCTCCTAGTAAACTTGAAAGCATTCCATCCTTTTTCCCAGAAGTGAGGCTTGGGTGGTGGTGCACCCTCATCCAGGCATAACAGGCCATGAAATAGCAGAGGGCAGATTCCATGATTGTCAGAAGCACCACTCTTCAGATCACCTTTCCAAGCAATCATGTTCCATGGCAAAGGCATTTCTTGCCACCATATGATGGTGAGAGCCAACAGAAACCAGAGCTTCCAAATTCATAGTCATTATAGCTGAAATGCTCTTCTGTCACTCTCTCTGTCAAAATACTAAAGGATCTTTTCACAAAGCCTTTTTCTGAAGCAGGGGTATGAAAAGACATGAGGGAGTAAGAAATAATTCCTCCTAAGATAAAACATGTCCATGTCAGAGTGTTAAGGGGTCTCCACTCTGTTCATACCACCCTGTCCCAGCTCATGCTGCTCCTGCACTGAGAGCACCCAAGAGCAACACAAGGTACCATAACCAGGATGTATTGCACTCAGGGGGAAAACAAAACCACAAGTCTTAAAAGTGATCTGATGAGGCTCTCATGGGCTGAACTTTAGGGCAAGTCAAAAGTGTCTGTATGTCAGGCTCATGAGAAGATGAAGATTGAATGATGGGATCTGCGGATGTTACTGTGGAAAACAAAAGCCACTTATTTTGGCTGGGACCTATTATCGTGGTATTCTTGTTAGTGGATGTTGACTAATTAAATGGCTTTTATAATTCATACTTCTAACTGAATATGTATCTCTGTCAGCTAGAGATCAAATGCTTTTCCAGTGTTCCAGACAGCTTGTTTCTTTTGGAAACCCTCTCTTTATGACTATCAGTGACTCATGGTGATAAAGGGAATGACAAATGACAGTAGTCAGCCAGGGTCGATAAGAAAATATGGAAAGATCACAGTTAGCAAACAAAACCCCGTTATAAAGCTATGGCAGCTTTGAAAGATGGGCTGGAAAGCCATATCAGAGCAATCTTGAATTCATTGGCCAAGTCATTAACCGAAAGTGAGCAATGACCTGGAAACACAAGACGGGGAGATTCCTGAAATTCCATAGAGATGGTTAATGATGCAAAGGGAAGAGCAGATATAGACTGCTATTCAAAACTGACACCCTCTCCAGCCTCTTCCAACCCTTTGGTTTACCTCCTACACTTCCAGGAGCTGAGCCTCTTCTCTTTTTTTTCCCTCCACAGCTTTGGGCACAAACTCTGCCTTCTGGTCACAGTCCTCCTCAATGCAGTTTCAGGAGCTCTGCTGGTCTTTGCACTGAGCTACACCTGGATGGTGACATCCTGCCTGATCCAGGTCAGCAAGGGAGGCTGGCTCACAGGCTCTGTCCTCAGTTATGCAGTTTGTAGTTGCAGCTTCTGGCCAGGGACCACTGTTTAGCAGCAGGGCTGACCCTCACTGAAGCCATCTGATTGTCAAAGCACTGTGTGTAATAAGAGCAGACTTCCTGAGCCAGAAATGTTTTTGCTTCACTCCCTCATTGACCATCCTGCAAATTTTTTTCTATTTGCCTCCTAAACACATTCATGTTTCTGGTGTCCCAGGGCATCTGACATCAGCAACTCATGTGGCAGGAGTGGGAAATTAATGAACATTTTCTTTTGCTTCTTATAAAACCAGAAATCTCTTTGGGCTCTTCACTCAGCTCATTTCTGTAGCAAGGAGTGCAGTCATAGCCCAACTCTTCCTCCAAGCTACAGCTGACTCTGCACAAAAGTAACATAGAGGCAGTGTCTGATTTACTGTCACAATTCTCTCTACCTCCCTTAAAATCTTGGTGCTGTTGGCTGGTTGATAATTCAGCTCCCACCACCCACCAATGAGCATTGCCACTGTAGGAGCCTGGGGCATCCTTTTCCCTCCTAGTTTTCCTCCTCTTCTTCCAGAGAAATATGTACTAAAAATAAGCATCTTTAAGCCCAGGCTGGCTTTTAAGGTTTCGCATTCCAGAATTTGACGAGATATTAGGCAAGCTGGAAAATGAAAAATAAAAGGCAGTGAGGAGTTGGAGGCAGTGAATCCTCAGGACGTGTTGGGCTGCATACAAGTGCATCAAGAGTGATGGGGAAGGGGCAGAAAGCCCCATCACAGCCACCCCTGGGACCAGCACAAACAGTAACAAGGACACTCTGCCCTGCATATTGAAGCACATGAAAGTTTGTGTTTAGGAAAACATTCATGCATAATCGACTGAGATTGATTATTTACATGGCTCAACTCCCAAACATCTGTCAGAAATAAGTACTGAGGCGGGGGAAAAGTTAAGCCAAAAAAATATATGGCTTTTAAAGTAGTTCTCCCTCCATACCATGGTGGAAAAATCACTGCTGTAGTGCCTTTGAAGGCTGAAGAGCCCTCTCCACAGCTCTTGGGAAGCTGTGATTAACATCATATTCATCAACTTATATTTATTCTCTGGATTTGAATTTGTCTCCTGACCAGCTCTAGATGTGCAAGACTGCCCAATTTCTTAATATTTTAAAATATTAAGGATGTAGTGCTGTAGAGTAGGGATGGGATAGGAACACAGAAGTGTCCAAACAACAGCCATGCTTGCATGTTGGCATTTGGATTTGGGTGCTGACAGCAACAGCACAGGACAAGAACAGTGCATAGAAAGGTGCTGCCCTTGGCCACAAGATCATCTGCCCATCAGATAATGCCATGGAGAACACCAGGAAATTTGTAAAATTAAAGCTGGTTGCCAAAACCCAGTTGGTGAAAGCTGGTGGGCATCCCAAAACATGGAGATTTTATGTTCTCTTCAGGCATAGTTGATATAATGTCCAGGTTTAAGTAATTAGGTGAGCGGCAGAGTCTTCTTAAGGGGTCTGTTTACTTGCTCCCAGGTTTCTTACCAGAGTCAGATGGTGCTTGGTCCTGAAGTGCTCCTTCCCAAGCTCCAGGGACAGCCCTGGCCCTGGTTATGCTCCAGCAGCCCCAGGAGCAGACAGGCTTCAGCTAGTCTTGAGGGGAAGGGAAGCTGTGTCACTGTCAAAGTGTGTTCCCTGAGGCAGGATATGAGCACCACTCATAGCCTGGGGGTGACACACTCCTGCCACCCCCCAGGACACAATGCTGCTGCTCCCCATTTTGAGAACAGCCACGTGCAGCTGGACCAGCTTTTACATTTCTTTGACTTCCCAGCTCCATGGAAGCAATCCATGAATGGGGAAAAGGTCACCAGCAAAGAAATGAAGGAAGGACATTTGCCCTTGGGCTTATTAAGCAGCCACCAGAAGCAGATGCCACTATCACATGTAGGTGACCGCAAAGCAAAGGGTGAGCCAGAGCCTGCCACCTCTGTAGCTCCTGCTGTGCCAGCAGCAGTGCTTGTGGGAATAAATACCAGTGTGATGGGCAAGGGGCTTGGGACTCAGCTGTTGTAGTTATTCATTTATTCGTCTCAGCTTCTGTTTTGCTTGACTTGTTGCCACTGCCCCCATTTTCTATCTGCAACAGGTTTTATATCAAAGAACTCTAAGTCAGAAATTCTGACATATATCTTTTAGTGCAGAGCAGAGACATGACTTCAAACAGCAGGACACCAGCTCTACCAGACACATAATTACACCTCCACAGTTCCTCCTGCCCTCTAAGGACAAGTTTATGCCCCTCTGATCCTGAAGCAAATGTTAATTTTGCAACTGTCTGGGCCAAAGTCATGTCATTCCTGATCTGTCCCTAATCTTTTCAGGGCAACCTTGCCATGGCCCTGCCTCACTGCACAACACGCTTCCCTGCCTTGGAGGCCCCCACAGCAACACTGAACATTAACTGAGCCTCAGGTCAGTTGAAAGCAGGTGCAAGGTCACTGGGATCCAATCCTG